AACGATACACTGATATTGTCATGCTATTTCAAACTAAAATTTCACCTTGCATCACAGTCACTTTTCTGCAATTGAATATAAAATAAAGACACATAATACATGTATGTATAAAACGTATCTTAAACGTATGATACAATATATCCTAAAACAATTGTTGTGGGACAGTTTTGTCAGTTTTGACAGTTTTTACTACGACACCTGTCACCTTCTTAACTTGACGCGAACGCGCAACTCAATTTACCTCTCGATCGCGGACTCCCAGTCTCCGAGCGTCAGTTTTGGATCAACCCACGATCGTCGGATTTATCTGAAGAATCCTGACGCGTCCGTTTATAGAGATTTTAACGTTTTCTCTCCGACGGGGCTCGGACTTTCCAGGACGCAGACCTTCGACGCTGATACGACCAAGCATATGACATATCGGGAGATGAACATGATTCTGCGACAGGAAGGAGGCGAGAACGGCCGTCAAGTCGATTGCTGCCCTACGGTATTGGAAATGGTGGAACCGGTCGGCGGTCGAAATATGGACGACATGTACGTCCAGCTCTATCGGGAAGGCCAGAACACCCAGAGGTTCTTTGAGTACTCCTGCAGGGAAGATGTTCTCGACAAGCCGTGCAGGTTCATCGACCGGAAGTTCAGCAACCAGTCGAAATGCGTGCAGAAGTTCTCGTACACTTACGCCATCATCGAAAATTCCGGATCGAAGGTACGAACTCGAATGCGAGCTTTAGAAAGCTTTTACAGTTATTATTGAGGTTTATTTCGCTCGTTTGTCAGCTAAACGTGTAGAGGAGAACAAAAGCGAATATGAAAGCGAAATAACTGAATCAAATTCAATTTTGTTTGGAAGTCAGACGAATTACTTCTCCGTTGAAAAGTTTTTTTTATTAAAAATTAGGCCGAGGATCTTTATGGATTTATGACGCGAGCTGATATGATAAATACATACATGCTAAACATAATCTGTGGATATGCACTTACGCAGAACGAAATATTAAATTATTATATTAATTAACGAATTGTATTCAATGCACATTATGTATATTTTTTGTACGTTTTCCATATTATTGTACGCCATAAATGCACGAATTGATTGAACGAATCAATTCAATTTTTATTCAGATAAAGCCAACAAAATTATTCCTTTTTATCGTTTACAATGCATATCGAGCTCGCAGCTGATAAGTACTTACATTTCCTCTTATACTTGATCGCTGTACCTATAAAATTTCATAAAAGTCGTAATACGAAAGGGGTAATTCATAATTATACTTTCATAAAATACTTACGCCCTGTGTAACAACTATATAACTGATCTTTATCTACTGCAACAACTTTAATTACTAACACTTTCATTAAAACACTAACTTTTGCAAGCGTATGAAGGAGTGTATTTCGCTCCTTGGCACTCAAAGGGTTAAGTAGCGACGAGTTTGTCTAAAAATAATAACAGATAGTACGTTTCATTATCACTAAATGAGATGAAATAAATACAACTATCTGTTGAACAGGGTGGAAACGAGGGACACAAAAGACACCACAAGAAACACTTGACGCTCACTGGTAACACGGAGGGTGGATCGATGTGGACGTTGGACTACATCAGGGTACGAAGCGGCTGCAGCTGCGAGGTCACGCCGAAACCGAAGAAGAAGAAGAAGTGCAAGAAGTGCAAGACGAGGGACCAGGACTTATTCAACACGGAAACGTGAGATCTGTGGTTCGAGGGAATCGGGGCGGATCCTACCTCGAGACTCGTGATACCACCGAGAGTATGTTGCGTCGAACAACGATTGCAATCCGTCTACCTCGATGATCCGATTCGAATCGAAAAAGCGTCTGAAAGTGATGCAGAGACTTAGACAGATACAGCGTGTATCTGGAAGAAAGGATTCGATCGTTGGATCATGCGAGACGGAAACGTTACCAATGGGAAGGGTTCTCTTTTCAACTCGGGGGGGTTGAAATGTTGCCTCGCATCGCGGCATCTAGGAATTGCTAGTTAACGCTGAAAGTGCCTTTTTAAAAATTTCTATACTTTGTACTAATAGATCGTCGACGCGACCGTGTGCGTTACGGTAGTTTTATCATCGTATTTATTATTAACGTAGAGTTCTGAAAGTACGTTAAGCGATAGCTGTAAGATTTTAGAGTGGAGGTTCTGTACTCCGTTTATTTTTACTAAGATTAACGTTAAATCGGCGAAAAAAGATTTACCGTAGTCAAAAGGAATTTAATTAGTCGCTCGAGGCCACTGTTGTCATTTTTAATCATGGTTCAAGAGCAGAATTTTATTTGAATCATGTGTAACGAATAAAATTAACGCGTAGGGTACACACGACGTTTATTTCATTTGAAATTTCTCTACGTGCAAATCAAAGTAGTCATTTTCGAATTTTTGTTCAAGGAACAATGGATGAACAATTGTCTATCTTTCATTCGTTATTCGAAATTTTTATTTAAATAACAATATTGCCCATCTCTGTGTCAGATATCACTTCTTGTTGATTTTTCGTAAACTTGAGAAATAAAGCAGCGAGATAGTCACGTAATATGAATGAAAATCAGTGGTCTTGAGTCGACTAATTGGTATTTCTCCGACTATAGTACAACGAAGTCAGTAGAATCTCTCTAGGTAAATGCGGACAGACTGAAGAATTCGAAACGTTCGAGGAATCGAATACCATATTTTTTAAACACGCTCTTCTCTAAATTGTCATCAGTAGGCTGCGGATCTTTATGCAAAATAAAATCGTTCGAAACGTAGCTACGAAAATTGGACCTAAATAGCCATTTATTTTTCTCTGCAAACATTACAATATAAACATTACTTTCAATATTTTTTAGTATTATTGCATACTGCGTGCATTTTGTATTTTCTTATACATTCAAATTGCCTACAGATGCATACAAATCTGCAGTCTAGTTATCAGCATCAGGGTATACGCGCATTAACCTCTTGTGGGACGGAATTTTTAATTTTTAATTTCTCACAATACGAATTCGTAATTTTTTTATTTTATTTAAAATAGAGTACGTAGAATATATACTGATTCACTCTAACATCGTGTAGTTTTTAATTCTCAAAGATATTATGGTCGTAAATAACAGTAATTGTAACATGAATGCAAATATTCACATATCATGTGTCAATATCCCTCAAGAGGTTAAAAGAAAGATGTATTTGGTATTATTATTTTGTATTAATGGACGTACGTCTCGATCAAGCTTGGATTTAATACTTAGGCAACGATTTCCGTTTTCGCCCGCGGCCAGTTCTTATTATACACTTCGATCTGTACATTATAGTTAGTTGTGCCTATCTATAATATACCGTAAGAGAAACGTAGTTTATTATAGTTTATAATTAATTATAGCGTAATACGTTATGTTTCATAGATCTGCGTAGGATTCGTTATAGTATCGATAACGAGGGCTAAAGAACGCTACTTAAGTTTATTTAATGAACTAAATTTTTAAGTATCTATAATCCTATTGCTATGTTAGTTCGTTTGTTTCTTTTTTTTTTTTTTTTAAAGCACTGACTAGGACAGATAGAGAATGTAACGAGCGTGAAGCGTTGCATTAGCTAGAAGCCATGACAAATATCGATAAATCTGAGTATATGGTAGGACAAACTGTTAAAAATTGATATGACGACTTGGCGTGTAACACGAAACATGAGTTACACTGAGTGCGTTGAGTTTATTTCATTTTGCGAGGGCGTAGATACTTTTATACGAGAGTAACTTTTATGAAATCTTACATTAATTTAACGCATACGTTACGAATAAAAAGCTCCCACTGTTTTTACGGTTCTTTAAAATTGACTTGTTCTTTTGTACATATCAAAAAGTACAGAAATGTCAACGTAATTATTTCGTCATTTGTGTGCGTTGTATTAATGTAATGTATAAATTGTAAGCAATAACCCGTTCGTTCAGGATTAAAAACAATACAATAATAATGTACTTAAATAAATGAGATTGCAGTAGTCAGTTGTACACAACCATAGCGTGAATCGCGAAGAAGTTATTATTACCAGTTCTCCATCTTAACATATTTATGAATGTACTATAGTAAATTATGCCATATGTTTAATTGTTAGGAACTTATACAATAAATATATTTTTTTTATCACTGTAATTGTCGTATTAACATTTTAACAAACGGCTTCAACTTGATAACACTCGTGTATTGTAATTACGCATCGAGCTTGCAGATTTATTTTCTGTACCGTCATGTAAACATTGTACATAAATGATACGAATACAATTGTTATAAAACGTTGCCTGTTCATTTCTACTCCCCGAATTAAACGCTGTGCAGTTTCATGACAACGCATTGTATCCAAAAAGAAATAAATTCTAAAATTATAATTACCAAATTGTTCTTGCCAATGATTTTTCTGTTAAGAAAAGACATTTAATTCGAGGAGTTCAAATTTTACAACAAAGAAGATACAAGCATAATATCAGTCAATTTCGGGTCATTTTTTCTTTAACTGTAAATGTACTATTATAAATATAAGTTTTGTAATAGTCAGTGAATATATTGACAACAATTATTCATCCAGAACTATAACAAATAAAACTTATATGTTTAAAAAAAAAAAATAAACGGAATTTTAAATCTTTATCATTACACTATACCACGTATTTTTTATAAAAATTCGATGTAGAATTTAAACTTGATTTAAATTTTATTATTTAGTACCCTTAGCGACATCTATAAACGAAAACTGGAAACAACATGACGAATCCCAAACTGTCAAAACATCTGTAGGTAATAACTTAAAATTTCAATTTTAATTTATCTTCGTAATAAATCTCAACTTATCTTTCGATGTCAAAAGAAAATTTGCAGAACTTTTAATCTCGAAAGAAGTTGATTCGCTTTATTGCGCAATTTGTTCAATATAGGTGCAATGCAGATTATCTACAATCGATCGAATCCATAGCGTGAATATAGTATCGTAACAGCTACAGTCTAGTCTCTGAGGGCAGACGCAATTTATTTCAGAGTACATTCCAATCAGGTGCCATTCGCGTGGACACGTGTTTATAGTTCTTACGCTTGGCACCTGCCAGTGTACAGGTGAAGAAATTACTTTTACACAATGACGTTCATACTTTTTACCAGTTTACTGTAATATCGAGACGTTGAAGTCTTGATGTTTGCGCACGAAAAACGTTGATCGCAACGAGGCGGGCGAACTTATGAGAACGTTCGTGCCGCTTATTCTGACACGATAGCTTTAATTAGATGAAACGGGGCAGTACATTGAGAAATATTACAATTCATGCGTTAAAATGTCCTCTGAGGCTTCCTTGAGCGATGCGCCAAATGTCGTGTCGAGACTGCATAATTTACGCTTAAATCAAGAGGATGGTGATGAGCCTCAGCAAAATGTGAATCTTGCTGGATCTGGAGATTCATCTCCAGAACTAGTAAGAAATACTCAACCCGTGGGTAATGTTATGCTATCACGTGTCAGACGTGCGTTCAATTATGTTTGGGATGAAGACCAACCAACTTCTTCTACAGCCAGGAGTGGAGAATCTTCATTCTTAAACGGGGATAAGTAAATATTTTAATATAATATAAATAATACATTATATAGCTTTCTATCTAACTTTAGATTTAATCCTTTGGCTGTTGAATCTGTATGATGTACGGACAAATGATGCTTCTATATGCAGTGTGTATCTTTCTAATAATTATCTTCATATTAATGTTTTAGTAGGCCTCCAACAAATGCAGCAAATACTTTGCATTTGGAAGGAAGATCTCAGAATAATATTGCCTTAGAAAATACATCTACAAATAGTCAAGCAACTGTTGCGTACAATTGGCAAGGTACAAAGGCCACAATGCGTGAGAGAATTGTCTTTCTTTTTAATAATGAAATATTATCGGATGTGAGTTTCATAGTAGGAAGAGGAACTCAGAAGCAGCGTATACCTGCTCATAAACTAGTCCTATCTTCTGGGAGTGCAGTTTTTGATGCAATGTTCAATGGAACACTTGCAACAACTTCTTCAGAAATAGAAGTACCTGATGTAGAGCCTGTTGCTTTTTTGGCAGTGCTTCTCTTTTTGTATACCGATAAGATAGAGATAGATCCTGAAAGTGTAATGATGACATTGTATACAGCTAAGAAATATGCAGTGTCTGCTTTAGAGAAACACTGTGTTGATTACTTGAAGAGTAACTTAACCAGAGACAATGCTTTCTTACTTTTAACTCAAGCTCGTCTTTTTGACGAGCCTCAGTTGGCTGCAGTGTGCTTGGATACCATAGACAGATTTACTACAGAAGCATTGAATGCAGATGGATTTACAGATATTGATATTGATACACTGAAAATTGTGTTGGAGAGGGACACTCTGCGTGTCACAGAACTCAAAATATTTCAAGCAGTTCTGAGGTACATGAATGTATTTGCTTAACACGTTGAGCGCAGTGCCGATTCTACTGGTTTTGACCGCTTGGCGATCGCTAAAATGCAGAGTATAAATAGAAAGAAGATAACGCACATACTTCGAGAATGATTTATTTTTCATTCGATTTTTCTAAACAAAAAACTAACTGTCGGTCTCATGGGATCGGTGCCGTGCTCAACGTGTTAATTGCCTGAGTACTATGTATTCATATACATATATATGTATACTTGCTATTCTAAACAGATGGTCAGAGGCAGAATGTAGTAGACATCAGTTGCCAGTCACCCCAGAAAATCAGCGTTTAGTCTTGGGAACTGCTTTTTCATTAGTTCGTTTTCCTTTAATGTCAAAAGAAGAATTTACTGCTGGTCCAGCACAATCTGGACTTCTGAATTATTCAGAGGTTAGTAGTATGACTACGTAACTTCATATATTTTTTTTATATATTTTATAGAAAAGGAAGTTCTTTTAGGTTCTCTCCTTGTTTTCATATTTTATATTGAATCCAAAACCAGTGGTTGGATTTCAAACAATGCCTCGCTGTTGTATGACTGGCAAGGAACAAACTGTATGCAGGTTTCAGCATACTAAGAGTAGATGGGGTTATAATGGAACAAGCGATCGTATAAGGTAAGTTTCACTGTTATTACTGTTCAGACCATATGGGAGAGGATCCTGGTGGCCTTCAAATAATAAATGACAATTCTATAACAAATCTGATCTTCAATTTGCTTTTTAGATTTAGCGTCGACAGACGTATATTTCTTATTGGTTATGGAGTTTATGGTAGCATGCAAGGTCCAGCAATATACGAAGTATTAATAGAATTGATACATACCGCTTCTGGAAAAATAATTGCTACAAATTCAACAAGTTTTAGCTGTGATGGTTCAAAGTACACTTATCGCTTAATGTTCAAAGAATTAGCAGAAATCCTACCAAATACGATTTATACTGCATCAGCAACATTTAAGGTCTGTATAAAGTTATTTTAAAGTTTGCTCTATTTTGAATATTAATATTGCATCATTATTATTTTAGGGACCTTATTCTCATTATGGAACTAAGGGTTTAAAAACAGTCATGGTGGATAGTGATACAGGAAATGGAAAGGTTAAGTTTGAATTCAGTATGGAAGCTGGAGATAATAATGGAACTTCTACAGATGAAGGACAAATTCCTGAGCTTATATTTTACACTTAATAACTCATGTACATAATAACGACATTCCCTTCATCAGCTTCATTGTCTTTCAAAATTTATTATATTAAATTGAATTCTGTAAAAAAGTTTTATATGTCGCTTTCTTTGTCAATTATATATAATACTTTATCATTACTAAGTGCTTTAAACTGAATGAACCGTAAGCATATTAACTGGTCTTTCAAGCTCTGTTCATGTTGCAACTAATAAGATGGATGTTTTATATTTTATATTTAATTGAGAGTATTGAGATTGAAATTCGTAAATCACAAAAGGGCCTTATTGGGAGAAGAGACTGAATCATGCCACTGATGTTAAACGAAGGTTAAAGTGAATTACTTATTTTTCAATTAATTATCTTAATGGTTAATTTCTTCAAAATTAAGTAAAACTTTTCTTCTGCTAAAGCTTACGATAAACAACAACTGAGTAAAGGTTTTAACAGTAAGATAAGTTTTAAACAATTTTGACGAAGTTCGCTATACATCGAGCAAGTTACAAATATCAATATCTATGACTGAAGACAATCTATTTTTCTATCTCTGCAAGCAATTACATGAGTGGTAAATTTACACATAATTGCGTGAGTCTTGTGTAAAAAATGATGGACTCTCATTATTATTTTTTGTAAACTCTATTCATTTAATGCTTTTTCTTGGAAAGTAAAATGAAGTAATATGAAATTGAAATTCATGCTCAAAATTATTAACACAACATAAAATAACAATATGATAAATTTTGAAGCTTATTAAATATTTTCAGTGGGAGTGAAGAATAAATACTTCTATACATTGTGACAAATTTTTATTACTTTTTTTTAAAAAAATTATACGTTTGTCTGTATACATATAGTAACTAAATGAAAGCAGTATATCGTTATCTTTTTAGTATTACTTAAATCTGTAAGACGAATGTAATACTACGAAAGTTTAACGTATCTTTTCGTTACAATGTTAAATATACCAAATTCTTCAAGTCTGTTATTCTATGTACTGATTAACTGCGCAAACTAGTCAAACATAACTCATCTACATTTGCACAATAAAAGAAATGTGTATCAACGCGATATTTTTATTGATAGTGTGCAATTATTATTTATATTTTAATTCTGTAATATCACAAGAAGATGCACACGTAAATATTAGGAAACTAAATAAACTATTTGTTCAATCAAAAATTTATTTGTTAGGTATCATTTCCTTTTGTTTTTTAGACCTAAATATTTCCATCTTTGCATACTATTTTTTAATTTTATTTATCATTCCATTCCGCGACAAATTCTTTCTGTTAAGAAATAAACGTATATGTTTGTGAATCTAATTAGAAATCAAATTTACAATTTATTTTAAATGCTATCTAGCTATTTAATCGGATTATAGTATCGCTTAGTACGTACGTGTTTATTGATGTAGAATGTAATGTTGAAAATAAACATTGAAATTCAATAAATGATAAGATTAAAATCAGTAATTTTTAAATCGTACAATATTTTATTACTATCACGTATGATTTAATTTATCAGGCGAAATATTTGCAGGAGGTAAAATATATAATTAAAATCCTTGTGGGATAATAAGGAATACAGAAAATAATAGAACATTTTTGTGTTTCTTTGAAAGAAAAGAAAAAGCAAATTCTAAGGAACCCTACACGAGTTCATCAATTTTCTTTCATACCTATTTTGATGCATTGTTTTAGTATATAAACAGTTCATGTTTAATAACATATACCTATACAATTTGAATGAACATTCGCCAAAAGATAAATGCATTTAAAATAGAAATAATTTTAAACTGTATTCCGAAAATATGAATTTAAATTTACCTTGGAGGTCTGTCACTAATTTTCCTGTATTAGGGGAGTTTGTGGGAAAATGGAGTTTGAGAAACACTGATTTATAAAATTAACATGGCTGCATTAGCCTTCGTCTGATACGCGCAAGCCTGTCACTGTCATAGCTGGTCATAGCGTCTCCCTACAGCTCATACAAGTCATACAGTTATGGTTCTAAAAGAAGGATAGTAAGTGATTATTTAGCAGTGTCGGTTGATACTTTTACCGAGTTATTCTAAAATTTGGTACCAGCTGTTTCGAGTGTTTATTCGACATGAAATCGTGGTTAACGTTCGATTTTTATTGAAATATTAAGTGCATATGACAATACAGTTTAAAGTATCGGTGCTTAATTGGTGATTTATTGCTACGAATCATAACCTAAAACTTGTTCAATATATGTGATGAATGTACGAACGACTAGGAAGTGGAGTATCGTAACAGAAAGATTACAGTTATTTGTTCGTTACTTTTAATACAAGAAGAGAGCATTCAAGTGGTGCAAAACATGCATGTGTTGACGTTATGAAAGAAAAAGTATTTGACAAGGTTGTATATATTTTGTCTCCATGACTAAAGGAAAATTAAGGGGCTCAGACTCCAATAATAAGGTACATTAGTGAAATAATTATGTATCGTTTGTAAATACTCTCCAAGCTAATGCACTTCTTCTAACAAACAGTTAACAGCTTCTAATGCAACTTTTAAAAATGGAGAAACATACACGTCAGAGTTTGAAATTAATGAAATACCACCTAGTGCCCGCACATTGCTTACAAAGGGTTACATACAAGATGAAATCAATTCTTACTCAGGTATGTTCTTAGAATTTGGAATATTTTACCATGTTTGTACATGCAGTTTAGTTTTTGTTGTATCATTGTTTACCTAGTAAGTTATAAATACCCTCAGGTGCCACTGTATCAACACGTGGGCGTTTCATGACAGATCAAGAAAAGTTACAGTATCCTAATGAACGTTCTCTGTACCTATACATACAAGGCCATTCAAAACACAATATAGATTGTATGTTACTTTTCTTTTAATTCACTCAGCTCTGATAATAAGGTCTTTAGAATTATTTAGTTTCTCCTATTTTCAGTGGCTATACAAAAGATTAATGAGATTATTAAAACAGAACATCAGAGTTCTTTAAATAGGCCAAGTAGATTTACTAATGCACCACCACCACTTATGAGTTTACATTCTGGAGTTACATCTGTGGTATGATATATGTTTACATTGTATATACTTAAAAATGTATTTGTAATATACATTATTAACTAAGTTATCATTGTATGGATAATTTTAACAGGAAAAGATATGTGTTGGAATAGAAAATGCTCCAGAGGGGTTTGATTTACGAGGTAGAATTATAGGTGCAGGAGGAGCAAATTTATTGTATATTAGGGGAGAAACTGGTGCAAATGTAACTTTAAGGGGTAGAGGATCACAATTCATTCATCCAGCTTCAGGAACTGAATCTCCAGAGCCACTACATTTGTATATAGAGTAAGATTACTAGCACACTTCTTTCTGAATGATAATTTTAATTATGTAATAACAAAACGCATTATATACTTTCTTTATATAGGCATCCAAAACCGGAAGCATTACAAAATGCAAAACAGTTAGCAATTAATTTAATTCAAACAATGCAGTCTGAATTACAATTATACATACAGCAACAACCACCCCCAGTACAATCACAGCAAGTTATAGAACAATCGCAAATACAACAAAGTATGAATTTAAATTCTACTTACTAAACTTTAAATGTGATTACACATTTTGACCACTATTGTTTTCATTTTTTGTAGCACAATTTCAAACCATGAACATTGGTACTTTGGGACAACCTAATGTTGTTACTATACAACATCAAGGTAGAGCACATACACTAATAGTTCATGGCTATTTGAATTTATTTCTGTAACTGTTGCAAACCATTTGTATCTGACAGATATCATACAACATCCGCAAAGTAGTGTAGTGACATTGCCAGCAACAATTCTCACTGCTACGGTAGCTGGTGCACCAGGATCTGGCATAACAGTTCCTCCACCTGGAGTACACATTCCTCCTCATTCTGGGCCATTAGTACCGCCGCCGCAAGCTCAGGTAATATTAAAATATTAAAAGTATGGTAATTATATACTTTATTAATAAACTCAACATATGTATGATATAATTTATTGTTGTATTTTGTGTAAAGGAAATACAAACATTCATGCAACCTCCACCAGTGGGACAAGTGCAATTAATTGGTCCTCCATCGACAGTAAGTCAAGTACAGTATCAAATTCATCCTGGACAGCCACTACAAATTCAAGGACTCCAACCTGGATCACAGTCATCGCCACAGCCTGTAGCGCAAATGTATGTTATGAGTCAGCCACCTCCACAGAGTCCAGCTCAACAAAATTTTATTACGAGCAGCAGTGCACCAGTTAGCGGCGCAGTTTCTTATGTCTACACGCAACCAAATATACAAAGGCCTTCCACACCACCGCAAGGAATAATCGAAACTGTCAATGTGAATTTACAACAACCGCCTCCGACAGCTCCAATTAATATAACTCAACAACCTCCTCCACCATTATTGCATCTTCATTTTCCGCCGCCAAACTTCCCTCCAAATCAACCACCACCTCCTGTACCACAGACTTATCAAATACAGTATCAGCAAGTGCAAGCGCCAGTGTCACAATCGCAAACACAGTTTGTGTTACAACCTGGAGACCATATTGTCCCACCACAATTACAGCAAAATCATGAACAATCTCAAGCTGTCGCTCAGCATATGTTACCTCCACAGTTTGAAGGTCATACTCCTCAATTCCACCTACAAGTACCTCCTCCATCTACACAAACTTTCTTAGTCCCTAATGCTCAATCGCCCCAACATCATCTTCCTCCTGGAGCTGAAATTCAGCAACAACAAGAAGGGCCAATGGATCAAGGATCGCAGCCTCAGCCAGTTCCACCGCCGCAAATTGTGCCACCACCATCGGCTGGTCAAATGCCAAATTCTATGAATGTTCTTACAAGTATTCCACCACCGACGCAAGCACCACCTCCACAAAATGCTCCATGGTTATATCAAACACAACAACCTCAACAAATGATGCAATCTCAAGGTCAACTGCAGGTGATATCACGATGTTCGTTCATTTTCGGTTAACAAGATCTACGTTAATAAGAACGCAAGGTATTAATTTAACAGGTTCAGATGCCACCAGGGAATATTCCTCTGCACAATGTACCACCACCACAAGTTCAAGCGCAGATACAGTATCATGCTCAACATATGCAATATCAAAATGGTCATATGCCGCCGCAAGTGCATTATACAGTTCAACCACCGCATCAGCAATTTGATCAAAAGCCCGATTCTCCCGAACAGAAATCGCATGGTGTAAAGAGAAGGTTTTCCGATGTTGAAGCAAACTCGGTAGGTTATCGAAGTTTTATGCGGTATTCGAAGAAGATACAGTAAGTCCTCGAGTTACACCGATTTTTAGATACGTGGTTGTGGTCCCACTTATGCTTTTGTATATATTTTGTATGTGTGTGTATGTAGTATCGCACTTCCCAACCCAACAATACAGATTCAAATACGAATAGGAATGACAGGGTCCTGGATTGGTCGAGTAAGTAAAGGTATCGTCTGTGGATCCGAGAATCGTAGGCTCGAATCTCCGTGCCATACTTTTCGTACGGACTCTTACATATGGTGTTTCCGCCGGGATAGGAGGTTACATTATGTTACACGAAGCCGTTGGACAAATGAAGATGATCAACGAGCGATGCCGTGTTGTAACTATATTATAGTGTGTTAACGGTGAGAGTGACAGGAGTGTGGGGACGTCGAGAGGAAGGGGATACACTCCAAATGGATAACCGAGAAGTTGAACATTTGCAAAAGTTGCGTTAGTTGAAAAGTTATGGTGAAGTGATAAGTTTGATCATGCATCAAATCAATAAGTTGTACAGTTGGATTAATGAAGAGTGGTGTCGGAGAGTGCCGATGGTTTTTGAAGACATACGAGGACAAATGTCGCTAACGGGATGATCGAATGTAGTATCGCACCTCCCAATCCAAGAATATGGAGTAAAATATGAACGCAAGTGGTAGAATGTGGTATTAATCGTGTAGGTGAAAAGATCGGTTGTGGATCCGAGGATCATGAAATTTGTGTGCTCGAGTATTTGTGCTTTATTTTTCGTACGGATTCCTATGTGTATTAGGAGTACTTGTGGATCTATTTAGTTTTAATTCACTTATGTAATGAAAATTATCTATTGAATGTATTGTACTGAGAAAAAAAATCAGTTCTGATAGAAATGTATCGTATACATGTTGTTTATGCGGAAAGCTTTAGAACGCATTAACCGTGTAAGTCAAGGACTTACTGTATTTATTGTTATGTAAAGTATTGAGAATTAAAATTTATTTTTTCATATAAATAACAGGAAGCACCCCCATATCAGTGTGGACCACTACCCGCTCAGCGTCATGGAACCGGGTAAGTGAAATATACAATCATCGTTTTAATTTAATTCTATAATTTAAATTTAATATAACTAATCATTTGTATATGTAACATAGGCTTGAGTACTTTTAAAATAACATTATTTGAAATACTATTCCAAATAACATATATGATTTCATGGTTATTTCATTCCTGAAATAAAATTACATTACCTTATTTCATGAAGTAACTTTGAAAGTAATAATTCTGTATTTGAAATAATGATATCATGAATTATCCTTGGAAATAATCGACATGTTTCGAAATGCTTCAATATATCGAAAACGTTGAAGTCATACGGGTTTAAAGAAAAATGTGCCTAGTAAATTATTCTGTGATATTTTGCATACTCAATACCTATCATATGTATATTTTCTATTATCAAATGCATGGTGCGGTATTTATTTATACAAATAACAAATATACTGAATATTCAACAGGTTCCCATATAAGCTTTGATAACACACTATGTTTGATAAAAGTAAAAGGAAATTGTTATGTACCATTAAAGAATATTACTATCTATTTGCAAATAAATATTTATTCGTTTCGTAAATGTCTCATTATTTAAAAGGTTATTTTTAATTGATACTTGTTCGGAAACCTGTTGCAAACAGTGAAATAACTTCACTCATTCGATCAAAACAAAACATTTCGGTTATTTCCAAATAACATTGCGAGAAGTACAAAACTGAAATATTATTTTAAATAAAATTGCTTAGGTTTGCTGTGATAAGCGATTTTCTTGCTATATATAATAGAATAAAAATTCATAGCGCGAATAAAGCAGGTTTAAAGAATTTTAATTACTTAATCGATATATTATATTAAAAGTATAAAAAATACAAGTTTAGCTCTAATAGTGAAGTTGAGTTACTTTACTTAGTTAAATTTAAAATTGAAAAAACATGTGCAATTTTAACAACTTTGGGGATATATATATATATATATTTTTTATTTCCTTATTGCTTCCAATTATTTGGTTCATTAGTGCAATTACCACTGCAATCTTCCGTAATTTTTAAAAGCTGCTTTATAGATAATTGTTTAGATATAAAAATCGTACGTTAAATGCAGCCAATTTATTCTATATTATAATGTGCTTAAATACGTGCACTGCAATACATTAAATTTCTTTCAGAAACCTGCTTTGATCAAGATGTACCAAAGTCAGTATGTTCGAAGGAAACGCATTCGAATTTTTAAAGATTTAATAACGTTTAGATTGTTTTTTATTCATACCATTGTTATAAAAATTAAAAATATTTAGTAATATAGAGTAAGGAACATTGATTTACTATTTTACTCGTAATGGATCGTGAGGTCGATATAATTATATATCGAAGTAATCAAGATATTTAAAGTAAATCATTGTGAATATAATCAGTTTTTCCACAGAATATTATGTTGCGCAATGAACTTATGTATTTATATGATTTCCTTGAAATACATTTGTTTTTGTGAATACAAGGAAAGAAATCATATGCTTTTAATTCTCTTCCGCTCTCAGTACTGTTATTACATTGGAGATTGTATATAATACATACTTTTTATTACTAGTTATAAGTTCTCAGCTAAAACAATAAGATAGAAAAGATATTATTTGAAAATATTATTGCTATCTTACAGATTACATGTAAAACAATTGGATATACTTCTAATATTATAATATTCTGTGTTATTAAGTTATCATACAAATAAGTACATTTTACATAAAGTTTAGTATCATTAACTATGACCTGGGGTATACCAGGTACTTTTAACATTTCAGAAGTATCCATGGCTGTGCATCAGGTGATGTTTGCTTAAGTTTTGAAATGTTTATCTATAACGATCGAATGTGAGTTAATAATTTAAAACTGAATTGTTTAAGCAGAGAAGGTGATCGACAGCAGCAGGTCTTACATGGTCCATCACCAACAGCTGCAGGCCTACCTCATGGAGATCGAAACAAGCTGCTAATGCCACCTCCACATACAGGTCTGTAACTAAGAGTATTCAAAATGAAAGAGTGCTGGATATCTTTTGAAAATTAATACAATATATTATCTTGTAACTATTATTATTAAATTGGTTTGATTAGAAGTGTACATCTTTTATGTAAATATTTTAACTCGGCAATGTATAAGAACGTTCATTAATCATTTTTCTGTTTATAATTCAGTAATATAATCGCATTTTCATTTCAGACTGGTATCTAGCATTGTTTCTCAATACTCTTAGCTTGTAGTATATTACTTATTGTAAATATATATTTTTGCTAAATAGTACGAATTTCTCTTTCTTACTCTTAATTGATACACGTCTCGTTGTTAGCAATCTGCTTTTTTCGTGTACTCATTCAAACACGTCGCAGATGGGCCTCAGGAACACCTACAAGATTGACGATACTACAAAGTAGATTGCTTTCTATTTAACCTTATTTATTATTATTTAGAATTAACAAAACTTTCGCTGTATTATACTTATAAAATTACAATAGTTAACTTGACCGTCTTAATTTTAATGCTTTTCGAAAATATGTTTTCCATTAAAATCTTTGTGTTTTCAGATCTCTGTACAACAAAGTGATTTTACATTTCAGTGATTACTTTTAACCAGTATTAATTACAATTATTATCGTTCATATTATGTTATAATGTATTATATGTTTGAACATGAGTATTTTAATTTTAATGAATTGAAATGTCAAGGTCCTATAGTTCGTGGATCTGACTTCTGAAGCCGACCATGTGGACAAGTGAAATAACAGAGCACATTATCATCCTAATATTAATATTAATTAATTTCTACTCTATAAATTATTCCATCTATCATAGTTCTTGTCATCTGTAGAAAATTTACAGAAATTTGTTAGGTCTTGCCGAACAGTTACATACAATTGATTCTATTGTTTATTTTAATTTTACAGTGAATTCATTAATGATCTTTTGGATGCTTTCAATCAGAAATCTGGATCTTCAGGATGATAATAAATGTAACATGAATTTTATTTTACAGATCGTAGGTCAGCTAAATAATATAAAACACATAAGCTAGATCGGAAAGGATAAGGATGATACCATAATCGATGCTGCAAACATATTTATTATCTGTTTTCAGCTGCATATAGTGATTGTAATCAATATTTTTTTGTTAGCGTTAGAAATGTTCAATGGCGTGAAATATTGTTATCCTGCTATGCCACTCTATAATTGTATGGAGTAGAATAATTTGAACTCTATTCGAAAAATTCAAGTTTTCTTTAGTTACACGGTGACGTTCAGAGAAGAAAAGTATAAGTAGCAGTTGATTAAGATGATAGATTTCCGAATAAATGTACGTAGTATTTTAATCGGAATCAAACAAAAACTTTTATCTTTATACAGAAGGAAAATGCTATCGCGATATCTTATCTTTTCTTTTACCAATTACTTATGCATAGAAACAGAAAACTGACGTCTGTAACTAAATTTCTTCAAGTTGATAATTGATATTACAATATTTCATTGCATTACTCGCCATATTTAATACTCTGGTGCACTTAATATATAGCTATACAATATCTTTTTATACATTTCTTTTCATATCTTGAATTTCCATTATTTAGGTGAAAAACGAAGCTTGGACCAAAAATCGGCTGGCATAAGTTCAGGTATACTTAACATTTGTTACAGTATAACCGTTTTTTTCTGTTTCCTATGAACTGCAGACGATTTTTGTTACGCGAATATGTTTTTGTGGTAGTAAATGAGCCGAATCCAATAGGAGATTCGATAAACATTCATCCTGGAGGTGGTCCGTCTTTACCTCCTCCGCTTCCACCGCAAGCACCATGGCAGACTCATCATGTCAGAGCGCCATGGGGTAGGCCACCGCCAATGCCAAGAGACGCAGATCACCAAGGAGTGTGTCCTGTGCTACCTCCGACAAATATGCCACCACCTCAAATTAGACCCAGAGGTATTCACAGTGAACAATGACAGCGTTTATGATTGTTTAGATGTACACAATCTGTAAATATAATCGAAACGATTCTGACTTGAACTTCGCATTGATTTTAATGCAGCATACATTCTTGTTCTTAATAAGCATTCGAGAAGGCTTCAAAAATTATGCACCTAGGCTGGTGGGGTCAGTGTCTGTTCATTAATTAATATATATGATTTTCACCAGAGATAATTTTTAATTCATTTGAAACTGTTTTTGTGTGTGTTTTTTTTTTTTAACTTTCACGCATCATCTGAAATTTGGTGTAATATAATGACCAAATGTTTCCGTGATTATTCATTCAGGACACGTTGAAGGCAATCGTTCGCCCGTTCAAAATGCAATATTGGAGCATCCGTTGAATGTCGAGTATAATCAAATGCCACCGTATACGACAAAACCTCCCCCTTACAATTCACACCCATTGATGCAATCCATTTGCAATCCACCGCCACCACCACCGCCACATCATCAACAGCGACCGCAGCATCCTCAAACAATGCAGCATTATCAGGTGCCAATTTCTCAAACATACCAGCCACCGACTTCCTGTCCACCGTGGATGAATTAAACATACGCGATGTTCGTATCAAGTTCTTACGCTAGTACCTTAAAGATGACTGATGCAGTCCGTTCGATTACACACTGTTTAATTAAACTCTCTACGCCACGAGCGTTATTCGTCCCGAAAGACGCGATAAACGTTGTATCGGATGTCATTGCATCGCGTTATCTTCATTGAATTGTTCCTTGCGATAGTTAATTATAATTTAATTATTCATTGCGAACGTGTGGCTGGGAAATGCTGTTCTGTAAAAATGTGTATATGTTAAAAATTATTTATAGTTAAGGTCTGTAAGGCTTTAGGTTAGCGTACGATAGCAATGAATATATATATATATAAATATCGTCTTACGAACAAATACGAATAACTCCGATATCGTCGATCTAATTGTGTATGTAATATCGAATCGTGCGAATCATTATTTGCAACGAAAGACTACTAACTATGCGGTGCGATGCGGGTGCATGTAGTTAGAATGAAGTTATTCTAATTAGTTCCAAGAAATGCTTTTTAGTATTCACGCACACAGACACACGCGAGGATTTAGGTGATATAATTTTTTGTATCGACAGAACATAATTAGTCGTACTTAGCCCGTATCGTTTTGCCGTCGGCATAATTCACGGTACGATTTATTGTAATGTTGGGCAAAATGTTATCTATTATTGTCATTATCGAGTAATGAAACGCGATTAACTGTGAATAATTACAAATTATTGATTCATGATTGCAGATTATAAATGCAGTTCGTAATTAACGATTAATCACTTCCAGCTTTGGTCCATTCATAGACAATTTACATACGGTGTACGCGAATGAATCGTTGCCGACGGTTATACGAAGCGTTATCGAAATTTCGGAGTTTCTTTTGCGCGAGAATTTACTATAATTCTATGTGAATTACTCAGCGAGAGACGCATAATTAATTAATCACTGTTTTAGTTCAGTATCTGTGATTTCACGGTTGAGTAAATAGGTGTAATAATTACATCACGTCTTCATGTGCGTCTTCATCAAGTAATTCGCGATGCAGTATATTTCAGCGTCAAGTTTTGTTCTACTGAATTTTGACTGATATACGAAATCTTTTAACTTGGGTTAAGTTATCATTTTTTATGATTTAATTATAGAAATATATTTTCCGATGGAACACCATCTTTGAATAAATTAATTTAATCGTAAGAAATTGTGTTTCGGTATTATTCTTCATCTCTTTACTTCACGCACATTTAAAATTTATTTCTAGTAACGCCAATGATTTTTTTTTTGTCCTTTTCTTCTTTTATGCGATCGGAAAATGAAATTATGGATCGAAGAATGTGATAGTACGTATCAAAGTGTTGGTTGGTCAATTTTCCCTTAGAATATAAGATATTACAGGGTAGAGTCTAAGAAGCGATGGGACTGAGGTACTTAAACTTAAAAAATATTCTTAGTTTCATATGTTCTAACACCTTGCTAAATTATTCGAAGGACACATCTATTTTCACATTTCTGAAACGTTCAAAGGACCATTTGTTCTTCATACTAAATTATGAGAATAGGTGGAGTCTATATTATTACTAAAATATTTTCGGGAACTTTTCATTCTAGAAGCGCTGCAGCGTTATTTGATTCTAAATCAATAACGTTGGATGTGTCACGTAATGGTCAGGCATTACATAAATCGAATTAAATGATATCATTCCATTAAGCGTTCAGTCTATTTTATACCTTGTCCGCGTTTACATGCCAATCAAATTAAAACCTGTTACAGTAGAATTATTCGAAACATGATATATATTAAATTAACAAATAATCTAATACAAATCTTACTTAAAAGGGTCGTTATTGTATCTGTGATCAATGTTCTATTAAGTATTAAAGTCTAAGAAACATCATTTTTTATTTGCCTTCAATTTAAAAATTCAAGGGGTGTGACTGTATATAAATCCAACATATCCGACCGAAGTATATCTTATGAGCAAACGAAAAGTTGCGTTTGAATTTTGATAACAGTAAGTATACGTGTCTATTTTTATTTACGAATGAAGCAAAATATTTATATATATTTTATTAATTATAATTCAAATACAAAAATATTTTAAAGAAAAAGACTCCTTGTGCCAATAACCTTCAGCATAGTGTCTTGATACTATTTAATAATAAGTACATTTTTCTTGTTAGCTATTTTTAAAAATTCCTGACTACTTGATTTTCGTATAAAGCTGTTTTATTGCGAACCAAAAATTCTATCAATTTTCTTCTCTATCAATCATTTACCTCTTTTTTTCTTAACACTTTTGTATAATTGCAATAAAAAAAATCTGATATGACTGGTTCGAATATCGTGGAGCAAATCGTATAAGTATATTTCATTACAAAATGTTCCGTCGAAATGCTTTTTTACAGAGGATTATTTCTAATATAGTTTCCGACGATTACCAAAGCTGTTTCGCTAAATGCGCGTTCGTTATTATCGATCTCAGCTGAACAGACGTCGTTAAAACGGCTGTGTTTTTACTACCAATCGACCATAGTTCTAATTAAAGTTGTTAAGCGTTCCAGCATGGTACGTGCGGTGATCGAATATTGACCTAGGTTTTCATGCCGAACGAAATTCTGTTTAATACAAATCCGATGAAGCCGTACAGGGGTTGAATTGTCCGTCGTTATATGGGTGGAAAGGTGTGCGGTTAAGGGTGCAATGGAATCGAGTGCCATAAAACGGCGCCGTTACACTGTCTAATTAGAAGACCATGCCATTCTGCGGCAGCAATACGATTCCTCGAAAAATATTAGTCGCGACGTTGATTAACCAACGATTAAATCATTTTAGAATTTCGATTGTTTCTTATATTGGTGTCTTCGGGGTTGGTATAGCCGTTGGAAGGGAACAAAAAAATGTGGGGTCGTAAGATCAGATAAAAGTTGAACTTTGCAACTTAAACAGACCGCGAGTAGTAAACTGAAACCTTTTTAGAAAAACATGGAACTAGACTTTTTTTTCAGGAGAATTCTTAAATCAGTGACTTTATTCTTTAGTTCTCAGTTAGAATAATAAGATAGAAAAGAAATGCAGTCGGATTTTTAAACATTTAACAACGTTTAGATCGTCTTTTTTTATTCACACCACTGTTACTATCATAAAAATTAAAGATACTTAGTAATATAGAGTAAGGAACAAAGAAGTTATGTGTTTATATGATTTTCTTGAAATACATTCGTTTTTGTGAATATAAGAAATAAAATCATATGATTTTAAATAAAATATTGATTACTAATATAAGTATGTTCCTCAATGTCTAAACATTCATACAAGCTCAAGTACCGCTACAATAAATTACATGCTATACAAGTAAAAATTCCTGTTTGCACATTTTATAACGAAACGGTTCCGATTGCAGATGGTTAAAGTAACGCAATTTCTATGGCCACTGTCGATAACTGTTATCGATAAGAGTGTCGTACTCGATGTTCGCGAATCAATTACAAGAGGAGCGTGGCTCACTTCATCGCTCAGTCACCCTTTCGTCGTCGACACAAGAATCCAGACTTGGTAAAATCAGGGGAATGATCGAATCGGTTCTTATACTTTAGCGATGTCCCAGGTTTGCCCGTCCTCGTCCCACCAACTCGTCGCAGCCTCCATCGCTTTTCAACGTGCTCGGCGCAAGTTCCCAAAAAATTACGGTCTATACGGTAACCAAGAGGTCGCGACTAATCTCGATAAGGTAATTAGAACCATCCGTATTACATTTTTGGTCACGTTTATGCATGTAAATAACCGATACTGTACATTGCATCAGAGTCGTTTCTAAATTCGTTATCCATTTTTCTTCGTCAATGGTTTTCTGAAGACAATTCAGGGGGTATTCTAGTCTAGCAAATGATTTTTGGAAAAACTTTGAACTTTCTTTAGACAGAGGTCGGTGATATAGCGAATTAAATAAATTACCTTATAATTTCTGCATATTCTACGAATATTTAATAAAATGACGACTAATTTTCATATTACTGATTTTACGTATTAGTACATCGCATCGAAGTCCTTTCAGCAAAAGATATCTGTTGTCATATTTCATAAACTGTTTAGAATATGAAAAACTATTTCATATAAACATTGTTCGCTATTAAAAGCACTATATAAAACAACAAAAATTGATATGGTATTCCATTTAAAAATACGGTTCGGTGTCTTCCTAGGACATCGTTCCACGCAAATAAAATAAACGAAATTGTTCGATATTACCAATCGTTTCCGAGAAATACAGCTCCTAACAGTTTACGCAGCCCGCTCTGTATATTTAACGTAAAACGGGAAAGTTCTTTACATGTGAAAATCAGAATAGAAGCCAAGAGTTGTATCGCTAAAAGCGTTGTCACTGAAGTGTTTATTGTTTCTCGCGACGCTTCGAATCAGACAGAAAGCGTCATGGCGAACGAACCCCCGAACGATCAGGAGAACCAGACGTTTTCATCGAAGAAATGCCCAAACGGAAGGTCGAGTCCCGCGGAGACTAAGCCAGCCTGGAGCGACGATTGCGAAGAAAATAGCACGATCAAGGAGAACTTACTTCAGAAACCAATAATCTGCAGTTGCTGTCGTAAACGCAACGAGGCTGCAAGAGCCAACGAACCGTCGAGAATTTTCAAGACCAGAGATCAATGCAGCGCCGGGGATGCGCTTGACGTCGTTCCAAACGAAGAGTACAATGGGATCGCGAAGAAAGGCGATCTTTCCAAATCGGTGCAGCCAGAAAGGTACGATACTTTCTTTGATTCCGCACGAGACAAATTATTATTGCTCGCCATGTACATAGCCGGACGAATAAATTCTTTGCTCTTTGCAAGTCAACAAATAACAATATTTTTAATATTTGAAAAGAACGACACACTTACGGTTACTCTTAATCGTTCGATATCCACAATTGCGATGAAAGTTCTTACACTTTTCGTTTCCAGTTGCGCCGCCAAAACGACGAAAAGTTTTATATCGGAGTCGAGAAATTCTAGCCGTGGCCGCACTTCGGTTTCCCATTCACGAAGGCGTAGTCCGAAAGAAACTTCGACCAAATTGGATTCCGTTAATCTTCTGTACGACAGAGCCCACGATCAAGAAGATAGCGTTAAAGGTAACAGCTCGTCCGAGAAACGGAGTAAGTTGAAATTCTTCGCGTTCTCGAATGACGTCGGGATGAATTATCACAATAATTTCGCCTCGTTTAAGACTGCAACGCGGGAGCCAGCGCCGAGAAATCCGATCATCGTATTTCGCGATCGAAGCTGAATCTGTTCGACTCGCACAAGAACGATTCGATTGCTGTTCACCGTACTCACGATTTTCATTGCGCGAAACACTCCACCGTTGATTTGTTGCGGTCCCGACGGGATTATTGTCGTTCTCAGAATCGTCATCGGTGCCACCATCTTCACAACTGCTGTCATCAGCGCTACGACGAGGAACACCACAGGTTCAATATATTTTATTAAGAAACAAATACGGAAAATATTATTCAACCGAATTTTTATTTCGATTTTATTAGCAAATCTATTCCCAACAGGGAAGTGCATAATTCTGAATATTATGTACATATTGAAGAGATCTTAACTATTTACAGACGTATTTTGTTATAATAAGAAGCCCGATATTCTAAAGCTCCCATTGGAAAAATCTCATATTTTTATTCTAATACGTTGTTCATAAGCACGATCCATTATCATTGATAATTATTTTCTCTAATTAGCTGCTTATCGAAGGAAAAACCACGTCTCGTGTCGGACACCTGCCTCTGTTCCTCAAACGCCACCCGGCAGAAGGGTTGCTGCAACAAATCTGAAGCGAAGTGCGAGTCATTCTGCCATCACGATTGTTGCCTGAAAGATTTGGAGAATGTATCAACGGTTCAGGAGCAAAACGACGAGGAATACGACGATTGCGTGGCCACGATCAGTCACAAGGATTCCTTGTGCATTTTGGTAGAGAAGTACAAGGCCAGCAAGAGGTGCAAACACAAGAAATGGCCGGGCGAAACAGAATTCATGGACGAAAGGACCAAAGACGAATGCTGTAAATCGTTCACCTCGGAAATTAGTCAAATGGAAGAAAACGCGAAACAACGAGAGAAATATTTCGACAGCGACAACTATCGGTTTCGAGACAATCGTATGTCGATAGGGAAAGCGTGCAGGGGTGACTATAATCAGCTAAAAAATTTGAGATCACGTTTAGTGAAGACTGGGACTTGTTGTTCAGCGAAAGGTACACCTTGGAGACACACATTTTGAATCCGAACAAATCTCGACCGTACGTTATGCTTTTGTACTAGTATTGTTTTTAGCCCTTCCGTTTGTTCTTTATTTGCTATTTTTCTATAAAAACGTTCGTTAAGATGTCCTGGTGTTTTCTCTGATCTGTACTTTGCAAGGAAATTTCAGTTCGGTCGAAAACGTCGAAAACGGTTTAAAGGGTTATGCAATATTTGGAATTGACAAAATGGGGCGGTTTAATAGAAAACTTCAAGTCTTTAAGTCTTATAAAGGTAAAAACATCTTATCAGACATGTTATTTCTGTTTTGGGTCAACTTCGATACTACAAATAGCACGTTTATAATTTTTTAAGTAACAAAGATGATTCAGATCAAGCTTTTACTTATGTAAGACTGAAAGATTGAAGTTGACTTCACAATCTTTTGTCCTTTGATTCTCTTTTCCATTTTATAATTTAAATTTCTGGGTTAATATCAGAAAAAAATTAATTTTCTCTAATACCAGAATCTCAATTTGATTGGTTTCAACGAAAAATTCATATAGTCCATCGGTACATAAATAAAAATAAAAATTCATTTACACAATGTTTATAAAAATCAATTTCTAATACTTTTCGAACACTTAAGTAACCATTCTAATCAACCCTCGACAGTCTTATTAAAAACCCAACTTTGTCGATACTTTACAGACATATTTCAGACACCTTACTCTTTCAAAAAAATATAATTAAGCAATATTCGGCATTTTAAACATTTAAAGTGAGAGAACTCCTTAAAAATGTTCACGAAATTAAAATCCTCCTTTCCACGTGTCTGCTTTCTACTTTTTACGCGTGTGTGTATACCTGGCCACTTTATATTTATGGAATTTTCATTAAAACTGCTGTAAAGTTTCCGAGCGAATAATTTTCATTCTGTGCTTCATTTTCTTCCATGTACTCTTTTTTTAAAAAGAGAAAGGGTACATGCACACCAACAGGACACGACTCCGTTACACAAACTCATGCGCTGGCGGTGTTCAGCAAGCTTATTTTTTAAAGTATATTACGCTAATAAAGTTAATCAACTTATTTTGGAGGTATATTGCTTTAATAAAGTTAATAAATGAGGGCATTTATATCATTCCGCCGCATCGCCCGGGGTACCTGTCTCTTGGGCAACATTTGGCTCCTCCTCTGTCTCCTCGTGCTTGTGCTCCTCCTCGGGTTCTTTCGTTTCTTCTCCCTTCTCTTGGTCTGCAACAGTTTCGTTATTAATTGATTCGCGCGAAATAAATTTCTTTCCGTGGATACTGCCGTGAAATATTATTAATTACTTTCAGACTTTACAATTGCTTGTGAGAAAAATAATTAAAGTAATTCTTCGACTCTTGGACAGACTATCCCATTAAGTTCATTTCGAATAAATTAATTTTAAACCACTTTTGATCCCATCAATACGTAAGTCAATTCATCAGATACAAAATAAATATAAAATAAAGAAACATTTTTTTTTCCTAACTTCATTACTTTCTAGTCTCTTCAGGGTCATTACATTCTTATACTAAGCAAACATATATTGTTTTATGCTACCTTTTGTAGCGTATAAAAAAGTACATTCGATAAAACCTGTGTCATAAGCTTCAGCTGATCGTGAACACCAAAATAGTAATCATTTTTTCAAAAAACTCAAACAAATGATAGTAGGAAAATACTTTTTTCATAACAATCTTCCTAAATCATTGAAATCAGTTCATAGACACTATTGGTATCATAAAACACACGGGAGATGTTTTAATGACCTTCTGCAACTAGAACACCCTCCATATTGAAATTAAAAAGATTGGGTTTTAGTTTCTTACGACTTGAAGAATTATTTTACTATCGGCTCTTTGTTTTCTCTTTACCTTCAGCTGCCTCTTCCTCAAATTCCGGTTCCGACGGATACTCGGTTTCTAGTTCCGATTGTGGTTCGGCGCTCGTAGGCAAAAGCTCCGTTGTAATTTCGACTTCCGACGCTTCTTGCTCATCCATTTCCGCTTCCGTCAACTGTTCTTCTGTATATTCTATCTCAGACTTCGCCTCCGATTCCAGTGGATGGTGTTCAGAATCTGGGCTGCGTTCCGTGATCACGACGTCCTCCGTTTCTGTCGTAAATTTGCTGTCAGTATTTTTCAATCGAATTTATTAACAAGGTATGAGTTCGTAATTAACCAGTTACGGTATCTTGACAGGCATGACACAGAGGATATCATTACGAATATTTTATAACAATACTAAAAACAATGGTAAAACTACCATTTAATAAATAATGTTTAATTCTTTTTTTCATTGTAAAGGTAGGGTAACCTTTCAACGAATTTAAATGTTGAATGAAATTGTTATAGTTACCTTCGTCCTCGACGAATTCTTCTTCTTCGTCTGCAGCAGCTTCCAAGTAACCTGATTAAAATTTGTTTCTCAATGTGTTTGAATATAGAATCGCTTTAGATAAATTAGGTTGATGTAAACTGTCGTTCATATTACGATATGAAAACAATCATTAAATAAAACTAGATTGTTTGATCGAAGAAGTAGGAATTTTATCAATACACAAAATTGATTTTCTAGGAATTATAAGTATCATACGTTGTTCCGACAAACGCGTCATTCTTAAGTGTTCCTTGAAAGCCATCTGAACTTTTGTGCTGGCCATCATCAGCTCCTCTCTAGTGCCATACTTTTCAGGGATGTCTTCGCGCGATGTCACTCTGTCGAAAACCTTGTGATGCAAACTACTGAGAACAGCATCGACAACCATCGACTTTGTTGATTGTAACTGTTGTACATCGTACCCTGCTTTTCTCATGCGATACTTTTTGTAGGCTCTCTTTGATTTGAAAAAATGAAAGCTGTTTCAGTGATTTGTAGTAGAATTTTCTAGTAAAAACTCTGACTAAATCTTTAAACGCGGATATCTCAAAATACGACTTTACGAGATAACGTAACAAATGTCTCGAAAACTATTATAAAGATACAAAGATAACACTTTGTATTATTATTTTAAAAATTTCGAAAAATTCCTTGTGTATCATCACAACACAAATAATTTAGAAGGCGATTCGAATTTTTGTATCGAGTAGTTTTTATTTCTTTTACGATTCAAATGTCTCACTACAGACCTGTAACCCTAAACCGTACATCAGCCAGCTTTATTCATGTAGAAAAAAAAAAAATATACATGTCGAATTGAGTAACCTCCTCCTTTTCGAAGTCGGTTAAAAACATAATTTTACTTGAATAACTGTTGCAGCCTCGTTGGCCTTTTCTAACGTCAATCCCGAGTCATGGTACATCATCTCCATCCAAGCAACCGCTTGAATGGCTTCGGCAGTCTCCAATATGCGGGGGTCCTTTTTGAGTTCCTCTTCCGTGTCCGCTGAGAACATGGACAGACCAATTTCAATTCATATAAAGGGAGAATGTTAAGAAATAGTCAATTTTGTGGTAGCTTATTGAGAAAAGCATGAATGAATCCAACGATTCGAAATCACTATTCTAATATTTATCGGCAATACGATGGGAACGTTATTAATAACTCTTCGAAACTTAACGAATGATGCTTTATCAATAATTTAAGCGCCATAGCTACCCCAAAATTGACTATTTGTTAACATTCTTCTTTACGTAAAGCGTTTAATGCGTCATATAACTGAAAAACTTACGAGCGTCTATTCTCTGGTTTCTTCTTATGTAGTAACTACGGTAGGCGAACTATGCGCAACAATGATCGATTCAGGTCATCGTTGATGGTATTGCACTCGTGTAAGAGAATCTTACTTTTACATATCTTGAAGCAGCTGAAATTTCCGCTTGCGTGGCACCAGCTTTCCTCAGGATGTCCAGTGTATTTGTTACCGCCCTTTGCCACTGAACCTTCCCTTGGGCTTCGTTCAGAGCCATCCTTTCGTAGTGACCGCGAAACGCAGCCTGATTGGTTTAGAAATCGTGGTTTAGAAATTGAATGTTCAGTTATATAGATACTTGGATGTATTATACGGTGTTTTAAAGAATCGTGGCAATTTAAAAAAAAAAAAAAAAACTCACTTGTATCACTGTAGCAGCTCGTTCAGCATCCTCGCGCGTTGATCCTGTCGCTTCTAGGATATCTCGTATCGATATCATGGATCGTTGGTTGCAAGTGTGGTCTGTGCTCGAATATAAAACATGCTTTTATCCTTCAATTCAGTATAATATTTGGAAATAAAGCGTTCGTGTTATTATTTTTACACAATCTTCTTCTACAAAATTCGCGTTGAAGCCATATAATCAATGAAGTTTCTTCTTTCACTTACATATTAAAATATGTGGCTATATTCACTTCTTGTTTTAGTATCTTTATCTCTAATTTTGAATTTCTTATTATTTCCCTTATTATTTCTCACTACTATCATGAAAAGTATGGCAAACTAGATCATAAAAAAGATTCAATAGGTACAAAATATTTAGTTCGCTCGACAAGGCTCTGAATTTTTACTCATTAACAAAAGCCTGCAAAAGATTATTATTTTGAATTGCTTGCAAACATACTGAATTGACTCTCAAATTAGAACAAGAATACACCTGTCATTTTGTACTACTATACTTTTATGAGCTTCCCTTAACCTACGCCTGCTTCAAAGCAATTCGCTGAGCATAGTGACTCCCTCTAACAATAAGTCAGCCTTTTTTACGGATTCGTTCAGTGTTCAATTACCCTCGCATGTCTGCGCCGCTTGAATGTCGACCGCGTCCAAGTACTCTCGGAACGCTTTCTGCGAAGAAAAAAAGGCAGGCGAAATGTACCATGTAAGTATCGATAAGCATCTAGCACGCGACAATACAATTTACTTGAATCCAGGGAGCTGCGACAGCGATCTGGTCCAAAGTGAAACCGGCTCGGTAAAGTATGGAAAGAATTGCTTGGCTTCCCAGTAAAATATTGTTTACGACTTTCACCGCGACTGAAACGATTGCAAAGGTTTCCACGAACGGTCCTTCCAAAGTTTCGCACAATTTAAATTGCTATTGTTAGACTGCGGATATTTATGCATTTATGGGAAATGGAAAAACGAGGAAGACAATACTTAGTTTAATTTTCGTTTCTTTTCTTCATCTGTGTATATAAAAATATCAGTTTCCATAAACATCTTCAGTCTAATTATAATATCTAATAATTTAAATTGAACGAAACTGGTGTCTACGAAGAGCTTAATAACGAATAATAACAATTTACTTTTCGTATTTTCACGCGTAATCAAAAGCGTATCCGCGTATTCGGCAATAAAACCGTACAAGTTGGCTGGTTGCGATCGGAGAACCTGTTTTCAATCACAGAGTGAATGATTAATTAATACTGTAACCCTGAAAATATTAAATGACGTATAATCATCGTATCGATGAAGATGGCCTGCTTCTTGAGTTTCCAACTACAAATATTCAGAATACAAATGGATGGTTAATTAATAACTGATATCCATCAATGATGTCTTTCTGGCAATAGATTATGATACAGATACAATTATGCAATACAAGAATGGAAATGATTACATCAATGGTACATTATACAACCAAATTTTCTTTTAATATGTAAGTGTCCAATGATTTACGAACGGAGGTGCAAGTGTCAAATGCTCTATTATCTTCAAGACGACAGGTAACAAATGTATCATTAACCTCAGCTATGCATTAAATAGAAAAATCGCTCGAATCTGATGTTCGCGACAAGGAACAGTACTTAAACCGTAATTTTTATCTTTTATCGAAAACACTTAAGGAGAACTCGAGCGACTGCAACTTTCCAAGAAATATGGCGCGTGATTACCTCGCGTGAAATGTCGGTGCAAAGTTCCCTCAACCCTTCTGGTACTTTGTATACATGCTTGGCGCTGTGCTTCTGAAGCATGGGATCCATTTTTCGGAATTCCCGTAACGACGAAATGCGAAAACGAAACGGGGTCTCTCCCTCGAAAACAATCTCAATTACCAGGAACGTTGCAGACGTTTCGGGTAGTTTTTCAACCGCGTCGAGCGACACGAAATATAATTCTCTTTTGTTTTGTAAATGGTATCGTGGCTGCGTTCAATTCGCTGTTTTAAATAACCGGCGAAATTGCAATTTTAACCTGGCAACAGTCACTCTGCTTCTATCAGTTTCCGAGGGAAAATGTTATTCCGTTTTACGGTACGCCGAAGCTGCGTATGATGACGCGTTTATTCTATTTCTTTATTAGAATGGAAATTGAAAACGTGAACGGTTCTTGGGAATTTGATTGTGTTTGACAGCGTGTCTAGGATCCTGAATTTATTTATACTCATTGTCACGCGTGAGTTCTGAAATTATAAACATGTATGAATTTAAAAAAAATTGTTTAAGGTAGGGATAAATCAAGATCTTATTGCGAGTATTAAATTATTGAAGGAAATGGTTGATGAAGCATATAGGATTTTTTTGTTGTTGAAGAGCACTTAATAAGTATTATACTTTCGCAATTAATTATTTTGGCATTTGCGCTTGTTTTAATTATTGTCGTTATTAGAATCAAGCTTTTCTTTTTCAAAATTCAAACTAAAAATTCCAAGTTTCGATGTTTGAAGTTTCCACACAGGTGATAGTTAACTAATAAATTTTTTTTTTTACTGCTAAGAGACCGAGTAAGTTGCGTTATTTCACATATAGACGTTATATCATTCCCTTAGATTTTATTTAGCCGCATGAGGCGCTAGTGTCGTACTCCTTCATAACTTCTTCGACCTTTCCTGTCGAAAGAACTACCAGACGGCGCTAGTGTCGCATCCTGCTTAACTTCTAGGTCTCTTCCTCCAGGAAGACTACAGTGTGATCAACCAGCAAGTAATTTACTGCCTAAACACTCTGTCATAGACATATTCGTAGATGAAATATAAATTCAATGCAAAGGTTCGACGTCCACACAGGTGATATTCAACTAATAAATATTTCTTTACACAAACTAAAGATCTGGACGATCAAATGGTTTCCCTATCGCCTCGACACTGCCAATCTTTCGTCGTTTATCAACAGCGGATGATCGCCCATAGTGCTGTGGCAATAACACGGTTATGAGTACACTCGTTGCACTTTCAGTGAGCTTTTCGTTGGTAGCATTAGCGGCGTCGCGTGAATAGCCTACATTATGCTGAATTTCCATGGTTCCATCGAGAACCATGAGG